TTCCTGTTAACCAGTGACAGACCAATAGTATCTATTTCTCTCTCTAGCACACTTCCAAGCTCTGCCAACACACTCTCACCCACCAATCACCTCACTCATTTATCCCCAACATTTAATTAAGTTTAACTGAAACTTACCAACATTTAAAGGAGAACACTCATAACACTTTACAACATTACAGAGCTGATCTAGCTTCCCTGGGGAGGAAGTTTGGGGAAGCCACCGGGAAGGCCCTGAATGTGGCTCTAGCAGCAGCCAGAACAAGAGAAGAGCCTTCCTGGCAGGTATTAAAACCTGGGCAGATTTGGCTAAGAGAAGGATGTCTTCTAGCTTAACAGTCTCTAGCCCAGAAAAGCTAGTCATTTCAACAAATGTAATAGTCATGTCAACTTTGCCATTCTCAGTATTTTTCCTCTACTTATATCACTTTGCACTTTATATGAGCCAGTGTGGTGCAGTGGATAAGAGCATGGGACTGGGACTCAGACGATCTGGGTTCTAGTCCCCGCTCAGCCATGGAGCCAACTGGGTGACTTTGGGCCAGTCACAGACTCTCAGCCCCACCTACCTCACAGGGTTGTTGTTGTGGGGATAAGATGGAGGAGGAGAATGATGTAAGCTGCCTTGAGCCCTTTGCAGGAAAAAGGCAGGATATAAATCGAAAAATAAATAATATGAACTCGGAGATTTTTTTCTTAATTCCAGAGGTCAATCCCGGGAAAAAGATGGAAAAGCAGGATCTGGCAGAACCAGATTTGGGGGAGAAATTGGAAGGCAGAAGGAGAGATCCTTGCCTTGTCCAAGCAGAGGCAATCCAGGAGTTTCTGACCGGGGCAGCTCCGCAACAAATCAAAGAGGAGCCCGACGAAGGGTTGGAGCAGCGCTGCGAGCTCCAGTGGCAGGAATTCCTGAGGACAGTCAAGTCTCCCAAAGCAGAGTGGAGGCCCCGGCAGTTGCCAAGCCCCACCTCCAAAGGAAATGCCAAGTCTGCCCTGAAGGGAGTGCCTGATCCCAGGCCCCGCTCCGGAGGAGAGTGGCTGACGCAGGTGTTGCCGGACCTCCTTGGGGAGGCCCAGCAGGCCTGGCGGAGCCTGGACCACTCCCAGACTGTGAAGGTGGAGGTGCTGGGTGAAGAAGACACGGTCAGCTCGGAGACGCGCCGCAAGTACTTCCGGCTTCTCCCCTACTGTGAGGCGGAGGGCCCCCGAGAGATTTGCCGAAGGCTGCAGGAGCTTTGCCGTCAGTGGTTGACCCCGGAGAAGCACACCAAGGAGCAGATCCTGGAGCTGCTGATCCTGGAGCAGTTCCTGACCATCCTGCCCCGGGAGATGCAGGGCTGGGTCAAGGAACGAGGCCCAGAGACCTGCGCTGAGGCGGTGGTTCTGGCTGAGGATTTCCTCTTGATGAGCCAAGGGACGGAGAGGGACAAGCCAAAGGTACAAGCATCAATCCGGGGAAGTGTCAAGCCACTGCTGAATATTTCAGTCCTTAAGTTTTGTCCTTCAAATGCATTATTGTGTGTTTAGATTTTCATGCTGCTGCTGGCTTTTGGTGAGTTTTAAACTTTTGAAAGATTTATGGTATGTCCAATCCCATTGCATTTCAGGGTTTTAATTTTTGTGAACCAACCAGAGAGCTTTGGTTGTTGTATAAATAATGCAGAAATGTTTGCAAATCAAACATGTGAGAGGGAGGCTCCTCCAAAAATGACAGCAGCTGCATTGTTCTTTCTGCTCCTAGCCAAATATCCACTCATCACATTTCTAGGCTGCTTTACAAAAACTTGCCTGCATAAAGTCAAGCAATAAAACAAAGCCAATTTTCTTCCCCACAAAAAAGTGGGGTGCTGGGAGGAGAATGAAAAGCAACTCGCTGATGAGCACAGGTTGCATTGTTTTGGGTTCCTTTATAATTTGGCAAAATGATGAGCAAGCGAGAACTAGAGAGCCTTCGGACAATTGAGTGGTATAAAAATTAAGTAAAGAAATAAGGCCTGTGCCAGTTTGCTATTCAAGTGTTTTCTGCTGGCTGTATTTATTTTGTGTGTGAGGAAAGTGTTGTGAGTGATGCTGTATTGGTAATTATGTTTTGGTTGCATTTGTTATTTATTGGCTCATATCTCAGAATTGAGAAAAGGAATGATAGGATGCCCAGGAAGGTGCTCAATCTCCCAATGTTTTGACAGCAAAACATGCCATTGGCTTCTTTCTCTCTCTCTCTCTCTCTCTCTCCCCCCCCCCCCCCCCCCCCCCCCCCCCGGATGCCATGCAGGTCCCAGGTGCCTTGGAGGAGTGCTTCATTAATGGCCCCAAAGCTGAGCCAGAATCATGCGACAGCGTGACGAGGCAGCTCTCTGTGGAAGGCAGCTTGCTGGGTAAGCAGTTGAGAGCTGCCTTTTGGCTCGCCTCTTCTCTTCTCCCCCGCTATCCCTGGTGTTGCTGGGAAGGCATCTTGCGTATAGGAGCACCCATATGCAGCGGCTGGGTTGGTGACTGCAGATGGACACCGGAAGCACGGCTGGCACCCGGTCTTCTGCACCTGCCTTCCCCACTGGCCCCCCAGGTCTTTTGGACTGCCGTGCCCATTAGCTGTGACCAGTGCAGCCGATGAACTGGGGATGATGGGACCCCTACTCCAAGCCACCCGGAGGAAGCGGTAGCAAGCCTCAGGCCTATTGGCTGCACCTCGCCTGTGACGATTCCCAGGGGAGCCTGGTGACTTCTGTGTCTGTGGGGGTCTTAATCCACGACATCTTCCCCTGCTTATGGGCTTTATAGGATCAGTCCATAGTGCTGAATGGCATGCCCCAGACTGGCTCGTCACCATGGAGCCTGGCCATATTCAGTTACAGAGGGCCTGTTTTGCAAGCAGAGGGTCCCTGGTTCGAGACCCCTCTTGGCCTGGGACCCTGGAAAGCTGCAGCCAGTCAGAACTCAACCTCTGGGGACTTTCTCCAAGGGCCAACTCTGGGTGAGCCTCAGAGGGTGGCAACAAAGGGAAGGCTTTCTTGGTAGTGGCCCCCCATCTATGAAAAAACCTCCCCATGGTGGTCTGCCTGGCGCCAAACTCACCATCTTTTCAGTGTCAGGTTAAGACAGCCGTTTATGCTGAGACTTTAAAGACTGGCTTGAATATCCGTCCCAGATGTTCTTACAGAGTCATTCTTTCTTGTTGTTAGTTTCTAACTGTTTTAAAAAGCTTAATGTTTCTCTCGTTTTATCATACTTGTATTGCATTTTATTATATTGTTTTATGGACTGCTGTAAACCACCCAGAGGGGACTGCAGGTGGCGCAGTGGTTTAAACTGCTGTGCTGCTGGGCTGGTAGATCGAAAGGTCGCCGGTTCGAATCTGCACAACGGGGTGAGTTCCCGTTGCTCCGTCCCAGCTCCTGCCCACCTTGCAGTTCGAAAGCATGCAGATGCAAGTAGATAAAAAGGTACCCCTTCGGTGGGCAGGTAACAGCGTCCCGTGCACTGCGGTGTTCAGTCATACCAGCCACATGAGCACAGAGACCGTCTGCGGACAAACACTGGCTCCCTCGGCTAGGAAACGGAGATGAGCATCGCCCCCTAGAGTCAGGCATGACTGGACATAATGTCAAGGGGAAACCTATACCTTTAAACCACCCAGATTGCTCTGGCTATGGGACTGTTTAAATAATAAACAGTCGTAATATTGTTAGATGATGTGAATAGCAACTTCCAACATCCGTATGGTCGGCTCTTTCCTTCCTCAGTCCTTACCTAAGTATCACAGTGGACCAGGCTGAGAGTGGTCAGAGCAGTGGCTTGAAACATGCAACAGGCAGTGGCGGACTTTAACACACACAACATGGAAAAGCACCGGGAACATCCCAGAGCAGGAATAGCCAAGGGGAGCAGTAGTGCTTTCAGCCTCTCGCCAAAGGCCATCAGGCACAAGGGACCGGGAGGGACGTTTCCAAGCATAGTTCTGTTTGGGCTGGACTTCCATGGGGGCCCTCAATAGCGCTGGAGATGTGGCAGCCAGCAATGGGGTCTGCGGCACAGTGGGAAGCACCTCCGTACTGGTAGCCGTCACGGCCGCACCGGGACTGATGCCAGTCGTTGCAACATCCCTTCCCCTTCTCCTTTTAAAAAGTTGGCAGCTGGGTCATGTCAGAGACTCCTGGTGGGTCCACCATCTTCATTTCCCCGGAGTGCATCTAGAACCACGCGAGAAAAGAAGGCAGCCGGCACATACCGGGCTTCCTCCAGTACTTTGCTGAGTGCTTTCTCTGGGCCCCTGCAGAGAACAGGCTGACCTGGGTGGTGGCTGAGGGGGGTGTGAGGAATGTGGAGGAACAGCCGTGCTGGGATGGAGCAGAGCAAGAGGGGGGCGGCACAGCCGGAGGCCTTGCCTAGGGCTCTCTCAAGCCTGGCCGTGCTCCTGTCCCAGAGACGTGGGGCTGCCACACAGAAGGCTCCGCTCCTTGTGGTTACCTCCTCTTGCATCAGGCGCTCATCTTGAGGGTTTACAGGCACTCCGGTCTCTTGCATGCAGATAACAATTCTCTGTTTGATGCTAGGAGATGATGATCCAGTCCTGGAGGCTGAAGAAGAGACCTTGCCACAGGAAGGACCCGAGCCTCAGCTAGTGGGCAACAGTGGAGTTCCCTTGGAAAGGACCAAGGGGAAATTTTTCCCAGGTCCTGAACTGGAAGCGAGTCCAGGGAGGCAGCAAGGGTTGGAAAAGCACCAGGACAGCCATCTGTGGAAGATAAGAGAGCAGGCCTTCCTCTATGAGGGTGGAAACCATGCCTTCCATGAAAGCACCTTTCCAGAGAGGACTGAGAAATTCCAGCGAACGGGCAGTGCCGGCACTGATTTTGGGAAGAGTCTCCAGCAGAGTTTAGACCTCCTCAAGAACCAGAAGAAGAGAATGAGGAAGTTTGAGTGCTCCTACTGCGGGGCCACCTCCAACATCCGTGCAAACATCGTGGTCCATGAGAGAATTCACACTGGGGAGAAGCCCTACAGCTGCCTGACCTGCGGGAAAAGTTTCAGCCGGAAGTCCACCCTCGTGAGGCACAAGCGCACCCACACGGGAGAGAAGCCCTACGAGTGCTCCGTGTGTGGGAAGAGCTTCAGCATCCGCTGTAACCTTTTGCGTCATGAGAGGGTCCACACAGGCGAGAAGCCCTACCATTGCACTGACTGTGGCCAGAGCTTCAGCCGAAGACTTTTGCTTGTGATTCACGAAAGGACCCATGCAGGAGATAAAAACTTATAACTCTGTGTGTGTGTGTGTGTGTGTGTGTGTGTGTGTGTGTGTGAGAGAGAGAGAGAGAGAGAGAGAGAGAGAGAGAGAGAGAGAGAGAGATCATGCTGCATCAGTGTGCCTCCTTCTTTTTGTGACATGTGTGGGGACAAAATTCCACTCTGGAGAGAGACTGTGAAAGTACGTGACTCGGCAGTAGGGATGTGTGAGTAATCCGTTCTGCGGGGTGGGAATCCATCGGATTCCCTGGGCTTGGCTCCCCAGACTCCCATCCACTTTGTTGCAGCCCTGAATCCAAGTTCCTGGCAAGTGTGCCCAGAATCCACACGGCACGTGCCTGGAATGAAACTCCACGCACTGCACAAGCAGCACCCCTCTTCCGTGCCATGTGCAGCTGCCTTTATTTGGGCCGCCGAAGCTGATGTGGGAGAAGGTTGCTGGTTGTGCAACTTGAAATTCCCAAGCATTGGCAGACTTCCTCTCAGCTTGGCTTCCTTTCCAAGACCAGGCTGAAAGGGAGAGGGGAAGTCTGCCGGTGCCAGAGGGACAGATTCCACTGCGTTTCATCCCGGACCCACTCAGCAGGGGGAGCCCTACCATTGGGCAGAGCGAAGCAGCGGCCGCATGCAGCAGGTGCTGGGGGCTGGATGCAGGTTGCAGGTGGGGAAGAGCTGTGGCCCAGGTGTCCTACCTCATGACCGCTGTGCTTGTCTGCTCCCTTTGGGTGCGGTGGATGAGGCTCTGCCTTTGTCAGGAGCTGAAGAAAGTGCCGGCTTCAGGGTCCGAGGGCAAGACCCCTTCCTCAGCAAATTCCCTTCTTACCAAATGCTTCTCCTCTCTCTTGCATGGCAGGGGGAGTGTCAGGGAGCAAGGCCTCCATGGCATGTGGCACTGCCCTTCCTTACCGCCAGGTTTATCCAGACTAGAGTGAGAGGTGGGTGAACAAGCAGGTTGCCACGGTGAAGAGGAGAAGCCAACCAAGGAGGCCTTTGTCCGTGTGGCCCTGGGCACAGGCCTGGCTGTGTCCACCCTTCTTGCCTGCCCAGCCACCTGCTTTTGCATGTGGAATGGAAGGGGGTAGGGTCCATCTTGTTCTTCATCTCAGGCAGCAAAATGTCTTGGGCAGGTCAAGTGAGTTTATGTGTTCACATGTGCCCCACATTTCCTTTGCATCTAAAAGCAGCTGGAGCACAACCACTGCAAGCCCTAGGTGAGAGGATAGCAATCTCCAGAGGCTGGAAAAGTCCGTGACTGGGTTCACACAACAAGCAGCTGTGCATGGTTTCCATGGCGTGTGGTTTCTTGCCTGGATGTGCCTGACAGACAATGAAGTGGTTTCTAAACTAGTGTGGGTTCCACCCTCCTTGCTCAGTCCTTCTGCTGTTGGTATGTATCCCATCAGCCACGGCACCTGAGAAACAATCCCATGCTGGATGGCTGGAATGGTTCAAGCAGCTTTCCAGGGTACTTTATGGGAACTGCATACCAGGACTGTGGAAACCACAATGCCAGGTTTGGACAACCAGAGAAACCATGGTGAATCATGGAAACCACAGAACAGACCATTGTTACTTGCTGTGGTTTCTATAAACCAACACACACCATACTGAAATACCACAACAGGGTTTCAACAACATGACAGACCATCCTGACAAGAAACCACCATGCTTGTTTTGTTGAATGTACCCACCCAATGTGTGAACCCACACATGTTGAACCCAACAGCTCAACTGTTGGGGTCCTATTAAAATAATACCTGTATAGATCGCTGCTAGACGTATCCCATAAATTGCAGTTATTAAATTTATGAGGTACATCTAGCTGAGATTTCTGCAGATTATTTTGATATGACCCCTGAAGAAACTCCCCAATTAAAACTGAGCCAAAACGCACAAAACATGCATTTTTAAGTGTCCTGAGATGCTACCCTTGGCCTTTTTCTGCAGTTGCCAGCATTTAGACTGTAAGCTCCTAAGAGCAGGGACTTTCATTTTTAAAAAAAATCTGGTACTTTGCAAAACATCCTGTAAATAAGAAACATTAAATGTTTCAATCAAGAAGAAACTTAACTGGAAACCTTTATGAAAGGAGTGGGCAGACATTAGGCTTGTGGGATTTACTTTGTTTTTGACTAGAACTCAATTCTTCACAAGCTGAAGCTTGTCACTTGGAGCAGGGAGGGGTATATTCTTGACCTTAAGGGGCAAGGGTGCCTCTGACCATATGCTTAGCCTAGGAATTTGATGGTAGTACTACAACTAAGTTCATAGTCTTCAATTGTCTTCCATCCTAGCAGCCTAATTTAGAAGGAGGAAATGGAAAGTGGAAAAAACCGTGGTGATTAAAAAAAAAAAAAAGTGTTACATTTGTATGCTACTTCTTATTAGAAATAAATCCTGAAGTGGTTTACAAAAGTATAAAAACTACACCCACAAGAGTTAAATGAGGTTGGTAAAATGACAAAGCATATTGTTAGCAGCCTTAAGCGCCATGTTGGGTTGGAAACTGGAATATAAACGTGCTTAACGGAAATAAATAGAATGTCACATCTCAGAGCTAAACAGACATTGCTTTAAATCTAGATCTAACTCCCTTCCTCTCTCCATTTTTACTCCAGCTGTAGGGCGAAAGCCAAATAAGTGGGACCTCCATCAAATCAAACCAGAAAAACAACATGCTTTAAAAAGCCAACTGTAGAATATTGACACAAACCCTTAAAACTGACGGAGGCAGAATATAACAGAAGATCATAGAACTAAAAGAGGGCTAAACGGCCTCATTGGTTGCCAGGAGCGAAAATGCCAAAGTGACTAACCAATCAGGTTGCACCTTTCCCAGTGATTGTTTTCATCATTCTGGTTGCCATGGCAGCATCTTTATACACACACCAGACCAAAGTGCCTTCAAGATGGTGAGCGTAACCTAAGGACACCAGCCCCTCGGGGGTGACCAGGTTTGGAGAAATGACTGCCGACTCACCGTTGTTCAGAGTCGGACACTGTTGTTCCCTCCACCTGCTGAAAAATCGCCCACTTGGATGGGCCAGTGCAGGTAGCACTGCGAAATGCTTTGTGCCCAAAGCTCTAGCAAGCGACTCGTAGAAGTCAGTGCTGAGTTAGATGGGCCAGTGGAGAAAGCCTTGGGGGAGGGCTCCTTCCTGCCTTCCCAGCCTGATGGCCTCATTTGGAGCCATGCTGAAGATCAACCACACACAGGAAGCCAGTGGGCCGGTGAAAGCCAGCAGCCCAACAGAAGGAAACAGATTTGAGGCTGACAGAGGGAGGCTTCCCAGACAGTGTGGAGGCAGGTAGGTGGCTGCCCCACCTATCGCGTGCTGCCATTTTGCAGAACCTGAAGCGACACCCGCTCTCATATCTACATGCCTGGTTGCGAAGAGCTTCATCGGGGGCCTTTCCAAGGATCCTCCCTCTGCACACACATCTGATGAGGCCCCGTGGTTGACCACTCGGTGGTCCAGGAGGTCTCATGGCGGGAGAAGTACGTAGGTAGTCAAGAGGCTGGAGCCTGGGGGCAAAACCGGTGTACAAGGCACTGTTCCAGCAGCCCTCCTGATGAGCACCGAGCCATATTTTAGAAACACACATTTCATGTAAGAAATGTACGGTAGCAAACAACACACACAGCCTGTTTCTCATTGCTCATCACAGTTTCTGTATATATTTTAGAATGGTTCTTCCTGAACGTATCAATGCAGGAAGGGGGGCTGGCGACTATTATGGGATGGAGCCTGTGACAGGCATAGAGTCCAGCACCATGCAGAGCTGTAACAATGCTCAGAATATAAAAATACTGTGCCTCGTAGGCAACGTAAATGCTGTTGAACTAATTGGAAAGAGCGACCACCGTGCGATCCATTTTAAGTGGAGATTGCCAAAGGGGTCCAATGCAGTCACATTGGTCTACAAAAGAAAGAAAAAACTTCTCTAAAATGAGGGAACAGGTATGCCAGAAGGTGAAAAGGAACGAAGAGAAATAACTCCTTTCAAAATGCTTGGCGATTACTCCAAACCACAATAATAAAAGCTCAGGCAGGATGTATACCATCAGTTAGGAAAGGTGGCGCAATGTCCAAGAGGTCACTGCCATGCTTAATGAACAGTGTCAAGGAAGCTGCTCATGAGAAAACGGCTTCCTTTAGAAAGTGGCAGTGTTGCACAGATGCAGAAAACAAAAAGGAACACAAGCTCATGCAAGGGAGATGCAGGGGAAGAACATTTTGAGGAACATATTACTAACAATGTCAAAGTCAACAATAAAGTATTCTTTAAATATATCCAAAGCTGGAAACCAGCAAGAGAGGCAGCTGGACCATTGGATGGTACTGGAATTAAAGGAGAACTAAAGGGAGATTAGGAGAAGTTGAATGAATTATTTTCATCAGTCTTTACGGCAGAGGATACAGGGCAGATACCTACGTATTCCTGCACTTAGGTGTTCAGGAAGGGAGTCTGAGGAATTAAGGCAGATAGTGGTGACAAAAGATAAATTTATCAGCCTTCATGGCAAACTGAAAGTTAAGAAATTACTAGGCTCTGATGCTGTCTATCTCAGAGTTCTTTAGGAACTTGAATATGAAATGGCTGACCTTATAAAGATGTGTAACATGTCCCTAAGATCAGCCTTTGTACCAGAGCACTGGGGAATGACCGATATAGCACCAATTTTTAAGAAGGGATCAGGGGATCCACAAAATAACAGGCCAGTTTCCCTAATGCCTGTACCAAGCAAATTGGTTGAAAGCATTACTACAGAGAAAATTACTTAAATCATAGAGTCATACAGCTGAAGGGGCTTAGAAGAGGCCCTACATTAGTAGTCCAATCTTCTGCTCAGTGAAGGATTCAAGTTTCCCATCCAGATCTGAACCATGCCCAACTCTGCTGAGATTCCAGTATTAGGCAGGATCAGGCACTTCATGCTATATAGAAGCAATAGAAGGACAAGCCCTGCTGAAAAGAATCAGCACGGCTTCCACAA